TTGGGTTCGCGCACACGCAGCAAGCAAGAAGAAGTGGGTGCTTTGCACTTCCAAGATGACTACCGCGCGCGCGTGTGTGTGTGTGTGTGTGTGTGTGTGTGTGTGTGTGTGTGTGTGTGAGAGGACTCTGTCAGACTTACCTCTAGCTGCCATTCAAGTTCCACGTCTATGCTGAATGGAAACTTGAAATTCTTATCCGACGTTGAAGCATGGGGGACATGTGAGGCTTGGTAGCACATTCGTAAATTTCTTTGCAGCAACTTCCTCAAGCCAGCTGTGAAGAGGCCCGTGCCAAAGCGCCTTCACGCCTTCTCGGTGACCTCAACTTGCCCGTGCCGACACCGGTGGAGATGACGCCGGAGGGCAAGGACCATGACCGACAGAAAGACTGTTGGAGCGACATTCTGCGGTGTTGTAAATTCCTTAAATGGCCACTGCGGCGCTCCGAGGACCGCATCCTGTTACATCGCTTTCCAGGGGGCGGCGGCTTGCTCACATATTGCAAGGAGCTGGTGTGGAGAGTTCTCACATGTTCTACGGGCACTCACTTCCCCATCTCTCCCTGACAAGCATGATAAGCATGCCAGGATGACGGCTGCTTCGTGCACACGTTGAATACCGAGAGTGGCCTCATACGCAAAATCGATGCTCTCCAGTTATGTATGCACGCTGCCGATTTGCTTGTTGCAGAGCCGATGGCTGCGAACGCTGCCCAATTTGTTCAGGAAAGATTTCATTGCACGGTTGCGGTTGAAAACGCTGGAGATGTCCGACGAAAAGGTTGAAGTAGCATTTAATTAGCATTCATCAGATCAAGGCTGCTGCCTTCTTCGGGTGTGTGGCTATACTGCCTTTTCTTACCGATTCTGAGAAGCCACTTGTACTGCAGAGAATCTTGTCAAATGTTGCTCAAGTGCCACAGGATAACGTATAACTGCAAAACGGCCTCCTGCACAAGTTATCTGGTTATTGACAGCTGAAGCCAAGTCAGGAATGCGTCCACCTACGCGCTGAACCAAGCGTTGCGCAGCGCCGCCGGCAAACGGTGGCAAAGAGATGTTGCGTGTCAAGCGCATCCTTGCTAGGCTACAGTCGCTCGCAAACCCATCACCAATCACCGCTCGTTCGATGAATGAGACATGTTGGTTCCATGTGGTTTTGGATTTGCAGCATCAGCGCGAAGAATGCGATCACCTCCAGGGACGTGCAAAACTATGCAGGGTGCTGTACAGACTTTACAGGACGTCTGATGGGTTTTACTCATGATGGAGATCACTGGCAGATGTGCCACCCTGTGGTAAAGGACCAGAGCACCGACCATGCATCCGTCATCACCTTGCAGATGAAATTTGGTGACCTTGCTCCAATCTGCTCCATATCTCCCAAAAATGATACAAATGGCTGCAACTGAGCCGACATGCTCTACGGGAATGCTGTTGCACCTGCTTGCACCTGCCTTCGACTGCATCATTGGCACCAGCACCGAAGAGGTCACGAAGCGGCTTCTTGGAGCTTTTTTTTGTACATAGGGTTCTTTCCATTCTTGTACATCTTGTTAACAGCCTGTAAGAGCTCGACAGCAAAGCTGCCATCAAGCAATGGTGTTTCTGTGCAGATGGCCGAAAATGATGCTGTAGCATCGGTTGTGGCTCTACCGTAAAGCTTTTTGTGCTGCTTCCATCTGGAGGAGCTGATTTCTTGGTGCGAGCTTGTTGTCTCACAGTCTTGGTTCAAGGCGAAACCATAGCCTTGTCCAACTGAACTCGTCCGTGGTACGGGAATTCTCAGACAAAAGTAGAATAATTCCTATTATGAACTCAACAAATTTATCTAAAGCCTTAGTAAATACATAGTGAAACCATGCACGTGTATGGCTGGCAGCTGCGAGCCGCACTCGCCTTCGGCTGTGTCGCTGCACCTCGGAGACCAAATATTCTTTTTCCGGATCCATAGAATGTGTGCATACAAGATAAGCAGAAGCGGTACCACACTGACGACATACAAAGAGTACAATGTGTGCAGATGAAAGTTGCACAAACAGCTCAGCAATTGTCGACTGAAGTTCAGGTTGCTGCAGAGGGAAGTCCTCGTTGTGAAGTCGAGGATGCAGGACTGTGCGAAGAAAGCCACTTGCCGGCAACTTGATTTCTAGCAGCGGCTTTCACGGGTTTTTGGTGGGTTTCGGGCTCGAAGACAGACGAAGGGGCTGGAAAGCCATGTGGGAAGAGAACTAGGCTTTCCTTTCCAAGTAGATGGACAAGTAGTTTTCAGGTTGATTCAGCACCTTCGACATCAACCAGGCCAAAATACAGAGCTACATCTTACGGAATACCGGCCCTTCCCATCAAACAGTGTACACTCACCAGTTTCCTGTCGCAGCAAAATCGCAACGCTACAGCTTGGGCACTTGCAAAGGTTGCATTCGACAGCGCCCGCAATGAGAGATGTACTCACAATACTCAAGCAGCTCAATGCCAAACATAATGGCAGTTGATACACCTTGAATGGCCTCCAAGATATACATAAGAAACATAACTGCGAAAAGAACAACTAACAGAGGAGCGAACAGCACTGCAAAGGCTAGTTAAGAACAAAGTGCTCAAGCAGGAGCGGCACCACGACTGTTGAACCAAGCACAGCCACCCCCTGTTGTTCTACAGCCGTGTACTCAACATTCCTATGGCCAAATAGCCACACTAGCAGCGCAACCGGTTTCTTTCAACACGGCGGTCCTTAAATGGTGGAGTTCGTGGTCAGCACCTGTAAATTGACGAAGTAAGAAGATGTGCGTCTTGTGAGTTACACGATCTTGGCTTTCATTCTGCTTCGTGCATGATACAGCACCAACACTGCTCCTCCTTGTATGCCCAAAGCCTGGGAGCGGTTGTATGACATCATCAGGTGAGTTGGCAGACGTGCGTCTTCTTCAAGTGAGCATCCAGCTCAATTTGCTTCTCAGCAGCGATTCTTCAAAACTTATGTACTTGCAGAGCGTCATCCATGAAGTGTGCTGACTCGTGCTGTCTGCGCTGATGCTGCGCTTTCAAATCCAAGGACGAGCAGCTCTTCACAACACGCAGCACCTGTCAACCACACGAATTTCACGTAGATGTCCCGGTGAGCTACAATCGGCTTGCCGAAAGCTGTGCTCGAGAGTCACTTGTCCTCTGTGGACTTTGCTGCGGGCTCCAAGGCAGTTGCTGGAATTGTCTGAGTCTGAACAAGCACATTCGCCGCGGCCGCAGTCGCATCCGCACGATAGATGGTTGAGGTGCAGAGTCTTCTAAAAAGCACAATGAGGCTGGGCGGCGTGGCATTGCTAGATGCGCACGAACATCTTGCGGCTCACATGGACCTCGGTGTTGTCTATATTGGGCTCGTGCCGCTTGGCAAAGCAAGAGGACCTACTGTTCACACATTTTGCCTCAGGCTTACCGGCCATTCTCAGGGAGCAGCGCACGAAGAGCTATATAGCAATGGACTGCTCTGAGGATGGCATTTGGAGGGACACTCTGGTTTCTACGAAGCAGCGCCGACTCTGCGGGTCAAGGTGCAGTGGCAAAACTTGTGTAAGCAGCGGCAGCAAAATGTACTGAAGTCACAGACTCGCTGCTAATTTGAGACAGACCTTCCATGCAAGGAGAGTCAGAATCGCAGGAGGTGCGGGGAGGGTTGAAGACCGGCGCTGGAAAAGCAGATCTTGCACAGTGGAATTTATTGGTAGATAGAAACTCTAGGAAGGTCTGTCTTCGCGATGTGCACTTAAAGGCTCTTAGCAGCTTGCTTCGCTCAATAGCAGTCTTCTGCGTCACGATGCGCGCGCAAATGTGCACACATGGTCCGTCGGTCGCTGCTGGGCCTGGCATCATAGACTAAGACTAGAGAGATGCTGGCCTGTGGCGTGATCACTTTGCAACGGACTTGTGTGGCTTAGATACATGATGGAGTTTTGATGGTCCGCACATTTGCGGAACGCAGCAGTGGGCTGCAGGGTCTGTAAAAGAGAGCTACCGCAAGTGAGAGCAGGCATCGTTCTTCACCCTGTACTTCATCGTCTTCATGGCCCCTTGTCAGACAACACACTGCAGTCCAAGTCAGTACGCCTGCGAAAGCGATCCAAAGCTGCTTCCGTCGTATCTCAGGATGCATTTGGATTTGGAATCTTCGCTCCTTATGTTCCGGTGCTGTCCAAGACGTTCAACATGAGTGCGCGAAACATTGCAGGCGTGACATCAAGTACCATCAAGTAGTGAACTCGTGAACCAAGAGAGAGAGAGAGAGAGAGTGAGAGAGAGAGAGTGAGACAGAGAGAGAGCGAGCTCCTGCCAGTCCGTAAACTGTTCCACATCATCGGCACACTAGAGGCCTGCTGACAGCCTTCTCCTTTGCCCAGGCCAGTTTTTCAGAACATTTCAGAACTCTGTTGTGTCTTTCCAGAGCATCTTGGGTGGGATTGGGCTGGCAGGCTTCCAGGCCCAGGCTGCCAGGTCCTAGGCTTCGCTTCCTGTCTTAGCCTCCGGCTCTTTGGTTTTCAGTTTATCGGGATGCGGACTCGACGTGCTTGGCGCTGCGCTCTTCTTGCGGACAACCTTCGGTGGATAGGGCTTCCAGCTGAGTCCAGCTTCAGGGAGGCCCTTTGTTCGAAACACAGGGACTGCGAATAAGCGCATGCGGCAGCAATTCTTACAGCACTCGGATTCCATCTTGCAAGTAGCGTGCTTGCTTCGCAGGCCTTTCTCACACCGCTTTTCGGGTACCTTTCCGATCGAATTGGGCGGCGCAAGGCACCATGAATTCGATTCTCACGTTCATTCGCAACATGCGTTGCCTGGCTTGGTTGAACAACGCACATGGTACTCCAGGTACTGCTGCTGGCAGTGGCAGGTGAAGCCGCCACGATGCACGAAGTCCTGTGGGGTGCAAGGCTTCGCTTTGTCTCTTTGGGAAGTCGTCTGTCAGCTCATGTTCGTCGAGGAGCGACTTTTGCCGAGCAACACGATTGGTCATGTGACGTGTCATCTGGTCTCACACCCCCAGGTCACTGCCTTTGCAGCGCTGAGCTGCGCAAGGCTCGCGCGTTGTTCCATTTGCTTTTGCCGGTAAGGGCTACATTGCCTCAATTTCAACAACATGAGGACAGATTCGGATGGATCTCTCAGATGTATTCGCCTGCACAGTATGGGCCCTCGATCGGAATCGGAGCGCAGGAGTTTCCACGGACTGCTGGTGGGCTACACTTTGGCCGGTGCCTTCTCTGCTACGATTCTTGGCTAACAAAACCATCGTGCGATTGGGTATTTTAGTATGCTCTAGTGCAACAAAGTAGCTGTCATTGGGTGTATATATATATAAATATAAATATATATATATATATAGTTATGTTTTTATTTGTTTGTTTATTTATTTATGTATATATATATATATATACATGTATATGTATATGTATATGTATATATGTATGTATATGGCTCATATGACCAATAGATACATGTATGTTTATTTATGTGCGCATAATATGTAAACATCTAGCAAAGTATCTCTCGAAGGAATCCCAAGGTCCCAGGTCCACGCAACCATCCAGGTCTCTGGGGTAGAACACGCCTCTCATCACATCCCATTTCTCCCCCGGGTGGGCTCTGGGCTCTGCGCGTAGTGCACTCGCAGCTCGACTGAGCTGTCCATCACTCGTCACTCGACACACGTACCATGGCATTGTGTTCAAGCATGCAGATGGCGATGCACAGTGATCCTTTGTACAGGACGGGTCTTCAGTGTCATCAACATGACATAAGCACAACACAACACAAGCGAGAACTGCGTTCGGGAAGTGCTTCTGATTCGAGAATCTACTCTGATTTTCATGCCGGTTGCCAGGATAGGCGTGTGCAACGCGTACATTGCGGACATCACCGACGAGCAAGAACGGCCAGTTCGTGTTGCCCACGTCAACGGCAGCCAGGAGCTTAGCTCCGTCTTGATAACGTAAACTCATGTACAGTACCCAAAGCATCAAAGGCTTGCGAAGAGACCTTTAGCTTGACAGAGAGCCTGCAGCATGTTTCTTGCAAGCTGCAGTTCACGACGAAAAGCAGGTTGATGAGGGTGCAGGTCTCGTCGGAACAAGGCTTAGTGCATCTTTGTGCTACTGCTAATGGCCGGACTCATATTATGTCTCAATGCACTTGCTGCATCATGTACTTCGCTAGGAGGCAAGTAAGTACATCACATGTAGTAAGTAAACCGGTGAAGGCTGCATCAGTCCATGTTTACCCGCAAATTCAAGCAGAGGGATGTAGCCATGCAGCGTCTTTTCATGAAATATGAAGGTGCCATGGACAGGTATATGCCTCCTTCCGATCTTGAAATGTGTGTGCAGCATTCCTTATGTCAGACTCAGGCATTGCTTTGGGCATCCTTGTTGGTCCAGTGGTCGGAGCTGTGATCAGCAATCAGGGATTCGTTGCAGCATGCCGCACCTTGGATGACACATTGGCAGCCTTGGCAGCAAGCTGCAAACATCCTGCCGTTAGCAGCTTCCGCCGAAACACGTCAACAGCGCTGCATGTGTCTGCGAAAGTACCAGAACACCGAAGCAGGCCCATGTGAGCTGCAACGACTTCTCGCTGTTGTTCCGCATTTCTTGAAGTTCCAGTAATTACTGGTTCTTGGTAGCTCGAGTGTCAAGGAATTTTCATGCGGGGCAAGTCGTCACTCTGCACGCGTCATGTTCCAGTCCAGTCCTGCTAAGCAGCTCAGCAAGATCCAGCAAACATCCGAGGTATCTGCGCACTCCTCTCCGCCACAAACTGGGCCTTTGCATGCTGTTGCCTTGGTGCTCCCAAAGAGACAGCCGTGACTTGGCAAGCTGATGCATCATCGTGGCCTTTCGAGTTGTCATCATCACCCGATCTCTGGGTTGTGAGAGTGCCAGCGAGGCTCCAGAAGAGGGCAGCAATTCACCAGAGAACGGCGAGCCACACATCCCTGGCCTGGCATGGCTCTTGCCATTCGGCCGTTGAGACGTAAAAAGCTTCGTCCAAGCCTTGCATAGTCCACTGCTCCAATGCTCAGGTGCCTGGGTGCCTTCCTTGGAGAGGCGTGGGGCACACGACACACACCTTGGCTGCCTGCCTCCCCCTCCCCCCTCCTCCCCCCCCAACGGTTTGCTCGGTGCAGGCTGGTCTGGCAGCCTCTTGATGGCACATGACGTGGCGTGTTGTGATGGAACGTGGTCCACGTAGCAAGATGTCAGCTGGTGGTGTTGCAGATTCTTTACCGAGGCCTGGGAAAGCTGTGCTGCTCTTTATGTCATGGACAGCTTCATGTCCGCAACTGGGTGGGAGGGCCTAAGCAAGCAAGCCAGAATAAGCTAAATCCCGTAGCAAGACGGCCTCAGCACAGCGTGAAGTTCAGCGTGAACATGTGCCGAGGCTACTTCTGGTACTATCCTTCACCTGCGACTGCAAGCTCTCAGTTTTATGCCGGCAGTTCCTTGGTGCATGTGCAGCATGCTGCACTAACATCCGCTGAAATGAGCTGCTTTTTCAGACCACGACACCCTCAGAACCACAGGTATGGCGTTCTGCGGCGTCACCGTGATTTGTGTCACAGTGTTCCTCTTTCCCTACATGATGCGCATTTTCGAGCAGTGGTTGCTTGGTACCAATGCAGTCAGAACTGGATAACCTTGCACATGACACCTCGGCAAATTGCAAAGAATAGTTACATGTAGGCTTAGAGTAAGGTGGACCGTTGTCATTGGCAACTTGGCCTGCAGTTTTCGGGGGCTGCAGAGAGCTTCTTTGACTCAAGGCGTGCATGCTGCAAAGTCTGCAAGCGATGTGCCTCGCAGGGCTTCACGGAAAAACTGTCTGCCTGAGGTACTGGCTTCCGCCTGACTGGCCTTATCGGAATAGCCATGGCGCCAACGAAGTGGTGGTTTCTTGCAGCACAAGGCTCGCAAGGGCTCGCAAGACTGTGGCTGGTACGAGTGGGTGAAGGGTGTTGGGATGCCTACGGTTTTATCCAGTTGTTCCGAAGACTGTCTTTGACACACTGGCAGACATGTCATCACTGTGTTTCATTCCATCGCGCTTACGGTTTCCAGAAGCCCGATGCTATGAAAATCTTTTCATCCAGATTTTCCATATACAGCCCCTCTCCCGAGAGACCTCCTGACCCTGAAATTGAGATGAAAAGCAACGGAGGTGAAAGCTTGTGTCCGGGTTCTGAAAGTGCATAGTCTGAAGCATGCATAGATAGAGTAGTGCATGGCCGGTGCCCGCTTCTCTGCCGCTGGAATGTGTTGGCCCCTTTTCGCATATTTTCGCCGTTCTGGCAGGTCTGCAAAACATTGGGGAGACACAGCTGCATTTGTAAACTTTACTGCTTGAATCTGACAAGCTCTTTGTAAAGATGTGTCATGGTCTCCAAGGATAACCTTGGCGGCCCGAACCAGACGTCATTGTTGACGGAAGTGGCTGGACCATCGGCGTATGGAACATGCCTAGGCGGACGGTAGGGCTGAAAGACATTGCTGCCAAGACCTTCCTCGTGACTCTGCAGTCTGCAGGTGCAATGTCGGCTTTCCAAGCAATGGCGCGGGTCCTGGGTCCCGTGGTGTTCGCTTCACTCTACGAGGACTGGGAGAATGGGAGAATGCACACTTGTCCGTGCCAGAAGTGCAAGAAAAGAGGACGTTCATCATTCGGCACCATGGCTGGCAGTGGCTGGCCTCGGAGCCTAGACTCAGACATCAGAAGAAATTGCAGAAAAGGGAGAGGGGGGAGATGGCTCCGTCGCAGATACTATGCAGACATGTCGCAGCAGATGCGTGCCGAAGTTCCTTTCACAATGATGTTCAGGAACGATATCTTGCTCGATTTGGTTCTACGTCTACACCAACACCCGCCACCTGGAATTGCATTCAACGTTGCAGCTGAGCATGCCATGACCCCTGCATGTTCTGCGAACTCTAGGCGAGCTCGTGGCGGCCAGGGCAGCTATGTCTCCAAAGAAGCTCAACAATAAAGAAAGCAAGTTGACAGACGGAGTCGAAGACAAGGTGGAGAAAGCGTCGGTGGATTCGTGACAAGGCGTGAGAGAATGCCTTTCAGCAACTCTCCCGAATTCACCTGACAGCTATAACTATGAATCGCGGCTGACATTCTGCCGTTCTGCTTGACTTGTGGAATATCCAGCGGTTGCAATGCAAGGACACGAAAAGCACTACGACTGTTACTGTGCGTTGCGAGGTGGATGTTTAGACAGGTTATTCTCTGACACGCTGCGGCAATAGCATGCCGTCACTTCATGCATCGAGGATGCTCATCATCGTTGATTCATTAGGCTCTCAGGTTCCGGCCCATTTTCATGCGTCTGCTTCGGTCGCAAACGATTTTCCCCAAAGCCATATTGGCTCAATGATAGGTTGTTTGCCAAGCATGCGTAGCCTCCCGTCCATGCACGTGCGAAGTTGAACCTCGCACGCCTGGATGCCACAGCATGGTAACGCTGCGGCTTGAACCTCAGAAGCTGTGTTGTAAAATAATGTAGGCGGCTGTGAGTTTTGTGAGTAATGTATACGGCTATGAGTCTTTGAGCCCGGCAGCCTTCCTGTAGCAAGCAGAAGCAGTTCAGGTGGCCAGGCCAGTGTCTGGTCATCGCCTTTATCTCCTTCACCTTCACGTTCGATGCAGCACTTGCTGTTCGGCCAGGGCTGAAGATTGAGCGTGGCAGGCTCGGCCGAACTGCAAGAAAATAGGAATGAAAAGCGCATGAGACACGTTGCAGAGCGAGAGCCGCGGAGCCCAGCTCGAGACGCAGGAGGCTCTCCAGGATCTTCCAGAGCTTCCTGGAAGATCAGACCGATTTGGCGCGTGTTTCTCGGATTGCCTCGGTGTCCCCTTTTTTTGTCCTGATGATTGCAGTTTTCGCATCAGTTTGCGCATGTGGCCCAAGCTGAAGCATGCTGAGGACTCCGACCGGAATGCCGCTAAAGACGACCAGTGGCAGCGGCCTTGCATCCTGGGCTGCAGACGGTTGCAGAGCATTCTGAAACGCAACAATTCACCTCTGGATCTTTTGCGGACGAGGCCAAGTCCACTAAGTACACGTTTCAGGCGAGCAGTGCCAGGGTGCCTTCATGAACTACTTCAGTGCCTTGCAGACAGCCACGAGGCACAGAAAAAAAGAGTTGCCTGAGCGTTCATCTCACAAAGCCGTGCGGCGACGCTAGCTTGAGAATGCTTGAGATCAGGCCAATTCTGGTGACCGTTGGCATTGGAATGACAATAGTGGTTCTGACCTGGCTGATGATGGACACTGCGCAACTCTTCTTCCTTCCGGCTTTGCGCCTTGGCTCTGAGAGCAAGAACCGTGTAATCATGCAAAACGCGGCCTGCAGACGCAAGGTTCTACTGGAGCAAGCGGCTCAAGTTGTCGTCAGAGATGGCCGCTGCGACGCTGCTGGTACGCTCCTTGTGCAGGGGAGGGGTCACGAAACGAGGACGTTCTTGCATGTTGATGCTCCGACCATTGTTGCTGAAGAGCTGCAGCTCGCACATACCAGGCACTCGGCAATGGCGCACCCGACATGGCAGATGCTCCGGGGCTTGTATGATTCGCTTCGACGCTACGTTCGGGAGCATCATCTGCACTCAGGCTGTGGCTGCTGCACAACTACAAGATCTGCCATTGGGATTGAGCGATTTAGGTGGTGCCAATCTCTGCGACTTGCTGTAAAATGGCTAAGTGCTTTGACTGCTTGTGCTCTGCTTGTGCTACGCGTGTGCTCCTGCAACCGGATGACTTCCACAGGTAGCCTTAGCTGGGGCAACTGCCTATGCCTGCTGGTCGCCTACATGGTAGATCCAGACGCGAAAACTGCAGTATTGGAACATCAAGGCACGGAGGGTACGGAGTGTGCACTGCACCCTCATATGACACGTGGGTAGTTTACGTCCACCTCAGGGAGGAGGGAAGGCGACAGAACTGACACTGCAACATGAGGGGCTGCTTGCAGAAGCCTTCATTAAAGCTTAGGCGCATTTCCCATCAATAAATTCAGTGTTAAATAGAGGACATTACCTGGTGCTGCTGGCTTTCTATGGCGGTGCTATTGCCGCAGGCTTAGGCATTCCAGGAGTTGCGGCAAGTCAACAACACTCAAAAAGGACCACGCGTTCATGTCGTTTTGGAATGCACAATGCTGAACAATGCTGCAGCCAGGAGAGCTTGTTTGTTCCGCAGTCTTTGCACTGTAGCAACTCAATTTAGCAAGCGGTGCCCACTTTGCAGCTTTCTACATCCGAGGTCTTGCTGTCACTCAGCCTCCAACAAGCGACCGTCAACTTTTGGCATGTGTGTGCCCTTACGGCGCTGTACGGTGTGTCCAGGATGCAAGTTGTGTGGTCTTTCCTGTGTAAGAGGGGACAGTCGTTTAAGTACGCTTGGAGATTGCGCCACAGGTGATACTTAAACTAAGCACGTCGAGGGCGGGTCGAGTGTCCTCCAGGCCCAACTGGTTTGCAGCAGTCGCGGAAGCGGCGCCTGGATACGGCGGAAGATACTGACGAACCGCTGGATGTAAGCGCTGCCTTTCCGAGACCTTGCAAAGTCACTGGATGCGGCCATTTACAACCCGCCGATGCTGTACCGGGGACTGATGACAGGCACTTCGACATCGCTTCAGATGCACCGGGCACCTTAATTGTTCCAGGCTTCCCTGTCAACCCAAGAACGAAGTCGCCCTTTCTGCAGGTCCGAAATTAAACGTCACATCCGAACGCGGCCCGTGTCGAGGCATCATCCCTGATTAATTTCTGCTCCGATTGTTTGCAAGCATTCATCCCGTCACAAGGTGGACTCGGTGGTCTCACCTGGGACGCAAGTCGTGTATGCGCCACTATGGGCGGTAAACTCCACTCAGTTGCAGTGGCTTGAGACACCCGACGTTATTTGTCGTGGCGACATGATTGAAAGCTCATCCAAAGCGGCCATTGACTAAGGAAGCCCTGAAACGACAGTCGCGGTTGCAATTCGAAGGTCAAAGGTTGCCCATGCGGAGAACGTCACGTCTGTGGCGCCGGCAAGCCCCATGGCACTGTCTGCATGCGGCAGGTCGTCTCGCACACGTTTGAAATGCACCTGAAGGACGTGGGCGGTTGCCCCCTTCTCATTTTGCCCCCGCTGGTTTTAGTGATGCTCCGGCACCTTCAAGCTGGTGCCCCAGCTTGATGCAACCGGTTGTGTTCAGAATCTGGAACCGCCTGCCGTCCACGCACTGGAAGCAAAGGGGACGCCGCGACCTAAGTCCGTTCGTCTCGACGATGTGTTCAAGTCCAAGTTATACGACAAGCAGCCCTTCCTTGTTTAGTTCGGCCTTTGGTCATCCTGCAACATCCCGCCGATCCGATTGGCTCGTCTGACCCCAATGATCTTCAGAGGTTTCTGGATTCTGATGAACGGTTACGCTCTTGCTCCTACCAGACCCCTGATTTGCATTGGCACGACCGCCACTGGAGGTTGCCCAGTGCGTGCGTGTGTGCGAAAAGGTTGTTCTCCATGACATCGACGTGGAATTGCGAATTTGGCAGCTTCCGCTGCCATCATGGCCAAATCAGGCAAAGATGACAGGATTGGAGAAGCTCGCAAGCGTCCTCCTCCCTTGGGAGCTCGAGCTTCAATCATTCATGCCATCCGTGTGGGCACTCGACGCACTCTTCCTGTGCCATCTCCATCCTTCTTCGGCGGCGTGGTCTCCCAATGCTTTGCAGTTTGTGACGGGCCATGCATGGTCTTGTGGAGGAGATCAAACACCCCCAGTTCGCATCATAGACGTTGACCCCACAGTCCCTCTAGGCACTCTAGGCCTCTCTGTCCTGATTGGCCCCACGAGAATCTCGAGGCCATGAGGCGACGCAGTGACGTCGGATGTGGCACAACTTCGCAATGCTTGGACAAAAAGAATTGGCTTACACCGTGCGCCTTGTCTCGTGTGAGAAGCTCGACCTCCGCTTCGGTCGTGGACGTTTTCGCCCCTCGAAAATCTCATTAAGCAAGGGGGGGACGCTTGGTCATAGCAAGTTTCACGGTTCACGTCCGTCCATTCCCTGCTGCCATTTTGATGAGGCTGGCACCGCCTTCGGAGCCTTTGCCCCTCAATATTTGTCCTCTGTCTTCTTGGAGGATAGCAGGTAGTTATCAACCAGGGTTATGTGGGAGAATTAAAGCCTGATCTTGGTCCATATTCTTGCAAGCTGAAGTCAGATCTACTGGCTGCGGTGCGCACGGGCCTCTGGCCAGGCTATGCCAGGCTTGTCTATACCTTTTCGGGGAGGCCGCCAAGCTCCGAAGCCGTTCATTCAGGGACGTGGCTTCGGCCACCTTCGGTCGATGCCGATGATGCTGTGGGGCAAGTCCGCCTTGGCCAGCCCGAATTGCGGCTGATGATTTATCCAGGCTCTCTTGTCCATGCCGGGCCGCCTGTTCCCGTATACGGCGATGGGAGCTGCGAGCCTTCAGCCCCCGTTGGGTTTCGTCGTCTCCCCTGCAAGGACGCTATGGGGGCTGAGATGATGCTCTGTCGGTCGTTGCAAGGTTCGTGAAGATATGCGAGGATTGCAGCCTGTGAAGCCCTGCTCGGGGCTTTCTTCTCGTGGTTTGAGGTTCGGGGTCACAGGAGCTCCAACTGCCACGGTACTCGCCCAAGCCTGCTAGTACTTCAAAGGCTCTTGGACTTGCATGCCAACTCGACAACTCGCGATTTGCCTGCCCAGCTCACCTTTATTTTATCCCTGGGCCTGCAAGTTGCGTTGTTTTCTCCCGCTCCCTCTCCCTCTCCCTTTATGCAAATTTACATGTTTTGAAGTTGCTATGACTAAGCCGAAGCCAAGGCATTCCTGTTGTATCTGCTTGCGCGCAACAAGATTGAGGCTGGCAAAGGGGTGCAGATGATGGCGCGGATGTTCAGAAGAGCGCAGTTAAGCCTTGGCAGGAACAGATGGAAGGAATCTCTGGACCGACGCTGCCTTGGTTCTCTGTTATCTAATGCTACATAGATGCTATCTAGTTTATCTCACTCTCTTTTTTGGTCTTGTCTGCCTCCCTCTCTTTCGACAACTCCCTGGATGCTCAGAAAAAGCTCAGAACATGCTCAGAAGAGCCACGTTTGTCAATAAGGACCGGCCGCCGAAGGAACAGCCGCTGGGTTCAAGACTTTCGTAACAGCAAACCTGCTCTGTGTGGTCCACTCTCAGCCAGAGGCTCCACTCACGTGGCCATGGAGGATTCATTGGCCTGCTTGAGCGGCCACACTGCACCTGGTTGGCATGCGGGTAGCATTCTCACCTCGCTGCAAGCAGCATAGGCCCGCCCGATGCGGACTCTTGGCGAATCTCCTTCGCCTGGGCTCTGCCACTTGGACTGACGAAGGTTTCTCATTCCAAGATCCGCGGTGTCACGTCACGGAATGATGCAACTTCTGACAGGCTTCTCCCATTTACGGCCAGTTCCTCAGCATAGCATGTTACCAGTCACGGGTCCTGGCCGCCATCATCCACACGTGCTGTTCCACCGAGTTAGTGCGTATGGCAACCATTCCTCCGTGCGACTTGCGCTGGGACACTCCCCGACGTGTCTTTCACACGATGTGCCCAACAGGCCGCTCCGGAAGTCTCCTGTTCAAGTCTCCGATCCTACATGGTCATGACATGGCAGTGCAGGACTCTACTTGCTGTGCCGGCTGCTGGGCTATATCCCTGCGCCCGACTTCAACGGAGGAGCCACCTGTCTCGGTTCTGCTCGCTGCAGTGCATTGAGATACATGTTCAGCCCGTAGCATCGATACGCTTAGGTGGCGACCGCGGTGGTACTCATCCTGATAACAGTCACCATCCCCAGTCGCAGCTACCCATTTGGAACCTCATTTGGAAGGGAGGCTTCCTTGAGAGCAGCGTCCCACAATTGCGTCCTGAAGGTCACGATTTTCATCACGGGCGGTACCTCTTCTTCTGCGAAGATGTCAGGAAGCGCGTTGCCATGGTTCTACTCTGGGATGAGCCTGCTTGCCCTTGCTGCATGGCAGCAAGCATGGCCCTGCTGAACCCACAATTGTCAGTGAAAGTTATGTCGGCAAAGACGAGCCTAGCTAAACAGGCTTGCACCAGTTATGTTGTGAACACCAGCACACCAACATGCCCAAAAATAAGGTGTCATCAATGCTTTGGCTTTCTGCGCTCTCTGATGACGCTGTGCCGCACGAAGCATCTCCTTGGCATTGCAGTCCGGAAAAAGGCCTTTTTTGTATGGGCACGTGGAGTCGGAAGACGCGGATCACTTTGGCATGGCTAAGGAAATCACAGCTTCCCTTGAGGGGCTTTGCCGTTTTTACAAGATTTCACGCTTGCGGTCTGGATTTACGCTGCTGGCCTGGGGTACCTCCCGCAAGTAAGTTGCATTTTCCTTGCGGTGACACCAGTATCATGTGCCATGTGCACGCAACTGAAGCTCAGAAGTGGCAGGCAATTGCGCTGGCGATCTGGTTGCCGCCTATTCAATCTCGCTCATGGGCGAGTTTTCCCTCGCTTTCCATGGAGCCTTCTCAACAAGCAGCCATGCAGTTTTTCAGGATCCCCACCGTGCCGACGTGTTGGGTGCTTGTGACTGTTGCCTGACGGCCTCCTCAACCAAGGGCTTGTGGCAAGCCAGTTCTTTAATGTCGCGGTGACTCGTCAGCATCCAGGCTGTTTGGGTATCTCAAACGGCGCCCTACTCTGCAGTCCGTGTAATGTTCGCCTTAAGAGAGACGGAGGTCTAGTTTATCTTGTATGCAGTCCAAACAGGAAGTGAGCAGACCAAGGTCGGTTTCAGCGCAGCACTGATGACAGTGACCTGGAAGTCATCGGAGAAAACCCTCTTTGACAACGGCTGGCCTGTCGACATTAGTCATCCGCTACTGGTGCTGCCCTTGGCAAGTCAGGCCAGTCCCCAGCATGTCCCCACTACATGCCCTGACCTGCAGGCATGCGTCGGCTCGATCCTCATCGTGGTGGGACTCTCAGACCGGGTTTCGTTCTTTTCGTCGCTGACAAGCTGGTACATTTACATGCGAAGTGCTCAAACGCCATCAGCAGCCAGCGCCGGATCCGCGCACTCATCTGGGCCTGGCGGAGTTTCGTTCCTTCTCACAACGCTCTCCTCAGTTAATCGGTAAGGCAAGCCATTCCTGACGACAAAAAGGCCAAACATCACATGAGACAATATATCGCCCCTCTTGTAGACACAACTGACACAGCTTGACATGTAACTCACTCCTGGCGTCTGAGTTCTTCGCAAAGCAAGCATTACACAGGACGGCCTGCATAATGCAGAAGGAGCAAATCACATGTCAGACCGAGCGACTCTTACTCAATCCGCTAGTCTCGCACCCCCTTTTGCATTTCCTTGGCAATCTGTCTGCAGATTCATCGGGCAGGTGGCCATGCAAGCTGTGTTTAGCCTGGTGGACTTGAACGTGCGCAGTCCATGTTGGTCAGTTGCGCCTAGCTCATCTGCCATGCACATCTGCACCCTCATGTTAGTGCCGCAAGGGAAGCAGCTTGCGAGAATATTTGTACCTTGGTTGCCCTCAGGCGCTGGCAGCCAATTATGGTACATTCTTCATCTACATGTGGATGAATACATCAGCCGAAGTACCGTACCAGCTGGCGGGGTGATGCAAAATAGTTCACCCAGTCTCCGCATTGACGGGTCAAGTTGGAGCGTCATATGCTTGGCTGTTATCTGTTATTATGCTCCTTGCCAGAAGACGTGAATTGTTTCACCGCTCGGGCCGAAGCACTGCTGACCCAGGGTAATCTAGACCTGCAGATACCAAGCCCGCGAGGCATCCGAGAGTTGGTGTTGAGCCGGGTACATTGAGGGGTTTGTACTGTCAGCCCAATGAGAACGGAACAGGCATCAAAGTTGCAAGCGCCAGACCTCAGCCATGGCAGTCAATGGCTACCGGCCAGAAAGCCCGCTGCCGGTTCCGGAGGATTCATCGGGTGGGTGCGATCAGCAACCATGATGTCATTTCACGAGCGTCGTGAACTATGTCCTTAGCGCAGGAGGCCTGGCAAAGATGCCGGCAGCTTCTGTCTCGGCTTCCGCCTATGGAAGGTGATTTGGGCTTGTGTTCGGCTGTTTGTCTGACTCATCGCATCGCATCATGCCTGTAGCGAGGGTTGTTCATGGGATTGGCACCTGAGGAAGCATCAAGCATGAGCGTACATGGGGCGTGGAGGAATCCCTTGAGCAATTCCAATGCCTGATGCGGCAGCGACTCGCTTGTACGCTGGCTTTGTCACATTGCAAGCCACGGTAAATGCTGGCTGGTTGGCATGCATCTTGCTTCTGGCGGATTGAGTAGGTCATAGAAGGTCACATCACTGCGAACAACAGAACTGCAAGATGTTAAGAGATGTTGCCGCGTCTCCGTTCTCGGTTTTTTGGGTGCATCAAGCACGGAAAGCCCAAACTTGGCATCGCTTTCCAGATGCCCGCAAACCTGGACACCACACGGAAGCGATTGAGTGCGAAGGAGTGGGGCAAGGGCAGCAGGAAGGCAGCGACCCTCGTTTTTTTATCAGCCCGACCGGCAGCAGCAGCAGCAGAAGCAGCAGCAGCAGGCTCGCTTTCCATCATCCGACAACAGGAAAGCAGCGGGGAGTAGCACCAGTCGGAAAAGGCCGGCGCCTAGTTCCTTTTTTGAGAAAGCGGCACGTCTGAGTCAGATAAGGGTGCGGTCGATTCAGAAAACGCAGAGGGCCCAGGCAGAAAACGGCAACACGCCAATCCGAAAACAGACAGGCGCATTCAGAAAAAGCAGAAGCCTCATCGGTCAAACATCTTGATGCTACATGCTCTTTCCGTGTTCTCCAAGGCTCCAATCTCACATCGGAAGGATTCAGAAAACAAACAGGCTTATTCCGTTACACGAAAGCCTCATCTGTACAACCTCCCGACACCGGACATGTTTTGCAAATCGGATTCTCATTCAGCTTGTGGC